GAACCAACCTCCTAAAAAAAAAGATGTCGCCCTACTAAAATGCAACCACAAATAAGATGATAGCTAGCATTACCAGTAAAACGTTCCCAGCCAATGTATTTTTTCTACTAAAATATCATCTTCCATCACATGATCCAGTTTTCTGACTATAGCATTATTTCAAGTTTTATTATGGTTATGTGTTGACTCACTCAGCTCTTGGTCAAGAAGGAGCAAAACTAAAAAAAAAAAAGACCTCAGAGCAGAACTCAAAGTGGAGTCAAACTCCAGTTGCTCGTGAGGCAGACTTGTGCGTTACGCCTTCGCAAGCCTCCCCACTCTGGCTACAGCGCCTTCTATTTCTGTAGGAATTAGAGAGCACCATCCAATAGTCAAATACGCTCCCTACAAAATGTATTTGTGTTTGCAATTTAGTTGCAAAGGAACATTTTAAGACACAAGGTGACTGGCCAAGTAGGCTATAAAATAGTAATTTGCAAGACAGTGATAAGCAGCTGTTAAATCTCCATTCTGCTTGCGTTTTAATGCTGCTGTATTCACAGTATCGTTGTACAAAGTCCACATAACTGCAGCTGTTTGATATATCAGATTTCAAATGTTCACAAAGAAGTTCTCCTCTTGATTGTAGCACTTTATTTACTATGTTATCCATGTTCAATAGATCTTTGACTAGAAATGTGAAACCCAGTGTAACAGATAATAATATAATCTAACAGTATAAAACAAAGTGCCATCTAATGGTGACACCATGCAAACCAAGAAACAGCTCTGTGTAGGTTTACTGTGAAATCTAGACGCCTTCTCAGGCAAAAAGATAGGGGGGCTGCTGGAAGCTGGCTAGGAACTGAATGGCAGCTGAATACAATTCAGCTGAGGGAAAAAAAAGCAATTCTGAGTGGCTGTATCTGTAGTTGTATTTATTTAATTTTTTTTTTTTTTTACCTTTGGGGGTTCCAGTAGTAGCTGGTGAAAATCTTTGAGTTGTGGTTTCACAGCTTCCAGTATGCTGTGGTTGACTGAGAATGAAGGATGGGACATCCCAGGAGGGCATTCCATATGACCCTCAAACCTACAACATTGAAATTGGACAGGACTGGTTAGACAAAACTGGAGATATTTAACAATGTGAATTGTTTGGTAAATTCAACAATTATTTGTACTCAATGTGCTTACTCATTTACAGCAGCCATCATTAATGGTGGTATGAACACTGATTTCAACTACGAACTTAAAAGCACAGTGGTGCTGTCCAATGATAGTGTGGTAAGACATATGCTGATGATAAATGTATACTGAGCCAGAATCAGTTGTCCATTGCATTAATTGCCCATCAAGTTAAAAAAAAGCTTGGTTGGAGTTGGTTAACTTTTCAGCTGCATGTGTACAAAGATAGCCTAAGAATATGCACTGCATAAAGGGTAGGAATAAAAAGTTAAGCTTCAGCCTATACCCTTTCAATCAAATACACTTATTTTTTTTCTTTCCCTGATTGCTTTTTTTTTTAAATTGTTGTTCTTGGATGTATACAAGATGATCAAAATAAAGAAAAAAGAGATTGTCAGATTAACAAGAATTTACTTAAAATAAAGCTGGCAATTTTGTTACAGTCGCAGTGAATGATAGAAACTTCAATAGAGCCCCTTTCCTACTGCCCAAAAAACCCATGTAAACTTGCCACAAATCGGCTTTTGACAGCAGTGGGAAAGCAACTACTGGTACAAATGATCGGTGTGGCTGGTTTTCCATATGTGCATCTTGTTTGTTTGTCCATTAAAGTGTAATGCACAGCTGCTTATCTTATGTTCTGGTGACATGCATCCATCTGACCAAAACTAGGATGTTAACAAAAATGTGTTGGGAAAACATTTTGAAGAGAAATTCTAAATCAGAGGAATCAAATATATATCCTTATATTCTTTAGCGGTGCATGGTAACACGAATCAAGCAAAACAACCTGCGCTGCTGGTTAACTGATGGGAGGAGCGCAAACTTGTTGGTAAACTAGGCTATAACCATGTCAAAAAAATAGCCTGTAGAGCATTGTTTCCACAGAAATACAAGTGTGCTGCCTTTCTCATTATTCTGACAAATCCATATGGTAGCTTGACATTGTCAATTTAAATTGATTGCAATTTAAATCTTACATCATATGCAGCTGTCGTTATTCATTTTTAAATGCTCAGAAATATGCTTGTCACTCTTTTGTGTTTGATTACTGATGCTAATGTGGTTGAGATCATCACTGAAATTCATGCCAGTTGATTTTCTGACACTCTAGGCTATACTGTACATATTTAAAAAATAAACCTGAATAGTCACACTGAACAGCCAAATCCAAGTCAACTGGCAAAATTCTTAGTTTGGTACAGCCCTAATTTCTAGTGATACAGTGCCTATAAGAAGTATTCACCCCCTTAGAGGTTTTACCATTTTATTGATTTTATAAATCAATCATGGTCAATATAATTTGGCTTTTTTGACAAAAATATATTACAAAAAAACCTCTGTTTCTACAAAGTAACATCAAATAAATAAAAATAGGTAATGGGAAATAAGTGAATGCATAAATATTCACCCCTTTCAAGTCAGTATTTCATAGATGCACCTATGGCTGCAATCACAGCACCGAGTCTGTGTGGATAGGTCTCAGTCCAAATTATGAAACAGATCAGAACCAAAATCTAATCAATTGTTCCACAGGCCATACCCTACCTCTCCAAAAAAAAATTCATCCCAATTCATTCATTACTTTTTGAGTTGTGCTCTTAAACAAAAACGTTCAAATACATAACCCCTGCCCTTGGCATTATAATACAATATGACGAATTTTGTCCACATTTCATGTTCTCCAAGAATCCTATCACCTACTGTACATCTAATGTCAAATAAAAACCACAAGTGCAAATGTCACAGGACATACGCTGGTCTCCTTGTCTCAAACAACGTGAGGAGGATCTGGATAACACTGACAATTGCAGACTCATTCTTCTCCTTGCTGAAGATATTAGACAGGAGCTGTTCCACCGTCTCCTGTCTGAGGAAGAGGACAGATATCAAAATGAACAGAAAGTAGACAAATTCACTAGCCGTCTCAACAGGGCAGAGTGTCTCGCCTACTAAGCAAAAATGACAGTCTTTGTTAGATTAATGTATTATCACTGACTGTGCAAAATAAACTGAACAAAAGCAAAAATGGTGAGTAATAAAAAGCTAAATGACTTGATATGCTGCATTATGATAAATCACTGGTACAGTCAAATGAATCTAAGGAATGCTTAAGCTTCACTATTTTGTTGGGGATCAAGAGTCAGGACCAAAACATTGTACAAATGAACCATGTTTGTTCAGTACAGTACTGACTGTAAATGTTCTCAGGGATAAATGAATTCATACTTTTCAAGTGTGGCCAGAAGTGGATCAGGCTCTGAGCAACCCTGGACCTGAAACATCTGATCTCTGCTCAGTCTGATGATCTCGCACAGCGATTGGGAGGCATTGGAGTGTCTCTGTATCAAGAAAGATGGACAAAAAGAACAAATAAAGAAATACACCACAAATCTGTGGCTCTGAGTCACTCGCATTAATCTACTAATCAAATTTTTATTGTTCTCGAGTTTTCATCCTGATTCAATTTAAGGCCCCCCATCAGACAGAGAATATTTTAATAGCAGAGGGTGACTTTTGTAATTTTCAATGAAAGTGAAGTGTTTTTGCTTGCTGCTTTTGCACTGCTCAGCAACTTATGTGGTTTTCCATGGTTTTCCTGAAACAAGCATTTTGTGATGGTGACCCGAAATATACTGTTGCCCTAGCACTAAGAACTGCTCAGCTGCTCAACAGGACAAATAAATAATAATAATAATAATAATAAACAGCATTTATACAGCACTTTAACTCAGAAGGGCCCAAAGTGCTGCACAGTATAGACTTATCTATCGACTAAAACAATAGTAAAACAAATAAAACTGTACTAAACAGTCAACAAGATAATCACAGAACATAAAACCATGTAGACAATACCATTTAGAGGCAGATAAAACAGATTAAAGATCAAAAGCCTGTTTAAAAAGGTGCATTTTTAATGTGAATTTAAAAACTGCTAGCTCGGTGATAGACTGAATCTCAAGCAGTAGCGAGTTCCAGAGTCTGGGGCCATAAACAGCAAACGCATGGTCACCCCATTTTTCGGATCGGGACAGTGGAACCACTAGGGACAGATTATTAGAAGAGCACAGGGCTCTATGAGGAACATAGATAAAAGTTTGGACAGGTAAAATGGAGCAAGGCCATGTAAGGCTTTGAACACATAAAAATCTTAAACTCAACTCTAAAATGTACAGGCAGTCAGTGTAATGTGAGAAGAACAGGAGTAATATGGATCTGTGTAACTGATGATCATTTTGGTGATGGGGGCCCAACAATTAACAAATTGACAGCCTCGACGTTAACATTTGCCTGCTTGCAAAGGGCAAGTAAATTATATGTTCAGGCATCATGCATTTGCCCAATTGGGTAAATGTCTGACCCACTGGAATTGTGATAGAGTGAATTACAAGTGACATAACCTAGGTGTAAACAGCAGTTGGAAAAAATATATTGTGTCATGCATAAAGTGCACATCCTAACCGACTTGCTAAAATAAGAATGTCAAGATGATGTCTGTGGAATTGTTAAAAAATAAATACATAAAAAAAAAAATAAAAAAAAAAAATCAGTTTTAATGACTTTAACCTAAATGTATGTAAACATCTGACTTGAACTGTAAGAGTAATTATAAATGTTTTTATGTTTGGATAAATGACTGTTTTTTGCAGGTTGTAAAACAGTCTCACTGGGGCCTAAAAACATATGACAAAACTATCTGCAGGGCTCAATGGTTATGTGATTTTCTTGCCCAACTTGAAAAAGCGGATCCTTTTGTAAAAGTAGACATGCAAATACTCGAGCACCTTTTTTTTTTTTTTTTTTTACAAACACACAGTTTCCAGAACTAAAAGAGTTCATCAAGAGCCCACAAGAGACTTTAATATCTTCATGGCCAAAGGAGGGAACTCACATCCTCATCTTGAGAAGGCTGTACCATGTCCACTAATCTCTGAATCACCTTCTCCTCATTCAGCCACTGAAAGAGGACAAAGTGCAGACATAGTTAGTGCAACACAACATATTAAAAGAAAAACTAAATTAACAAAAATCTTTGATATAATAAGTTGCTATGGGAAGCGCCTTCTGGTATGACCAATCACAGAAGCTCCATTACCATCATGTCTCTCATGGGACATACCAATTAACTGAGTCATATGGACCAGCCCGTCCGCCTTTATAACCATCTATGGCCCTACAGACACCATGCGTAGTGCATTTCTTCCAGGTGCCCTTTCAGGTGACCCACTCCCAAGCCCGTAACAACTCAAAGTTGACACCCCAAACCTTCACAGATTTAAGATTAATGAACACTGAGGATTTAAAGCACAAGTGAAGGCACAGTCATCCAAGTACAGCAAATACAGTGCCTTGCAAAAGTATTCATACTCCTTGAACTTTTCCAAATTTTGTCACATTACAACCACAAACTTAAATGTATTTTTTGGGGATTTTATGTGATAGACCAACACCAAATATCGCATAATTGTTAAGTGGAAGAAAAATTATATGCGGTGTTCAAGATTTTTTTTTTAACAAATAATCTGAAAAGTTAGGCGTGCATATGTATTCTGCCCCTCTATGTCAATACTTTGTCGAACCACCTTTCGCTGCAATTACAGCTGCAAGTCTTTTGGGGTATGTCTCTACCAGCTTTGCACATCTAGAGTTACTTAAGTTTGGCGTTGTAACGTAACAAAATGTGGAAAAGTTCAAGGAGTATGAATACTTTTGCAAAGCACTGTATATCCAACACAGAAATGCCTTTTAACAGGGCCCACGAAGTGGCCATCCTCTTCGTCGAATGAGCTTGCAGGTTGTCCAGGGGCTGTAAACCACTATGCTCATAAGAAAGAATAACTGTCCCTGCTACCCAGTAAGATAGATGCTGTCATGATAGGGCCTTTCCCCTGTGAGAAGATACTCAAGCTATAAAGTGCTGGTTGCTCTGCCTACAATCTTCTGTCCAGATAAATGCATAAAGCTCAAACAGGACAGCGTGTATTAAGCCACCTCTGGCTCTTGCTGGCAAAAGGCAAGCAGCTTCAGAGTTAGGAGGACCCGCTAAGCTTAGGCACAAAAGCAGGATGAGGGTGCAACAATTTCCCGCTGGACAAGCATCTTCACCACATTAACTGACAGCAAAAATATGATTGAGTAAGGGGGGGGGACAGACATGAATCTTAAAAGAAAAATGTGGTGGGTCCAGGATTGATGTAGTGTCAACTGACGCATTTGATATAATGGAAATCTCTGTTCCATGACAAGCACAAAAAAGTGGTGGATAAAATTAGTCCCAGGTACATCTTTACCAAGTGAGAGTTTTCTCTAGCAGACCTCATCTTGCACCTGAGTGTGAACAAACTCATCATCTCACAGGAGAACATAAAAATAGAATGAATAAAATTGTGTTGTTTTGAAACACTATAGAGTGTGTATTTGGGTTATGCTGCACTTTGTGTTGACAGTGAAGAAGTGTTTGTTCCTTATGTTCTTACCCAGAATTTTAAAGCAAACATTTAACATTTCTGTCAAATAAATAAAAAGCACATTTAAATTGGTAGAAGGCGGAGATTATATTTAGCACGGCAGACCGTGCTGTCCTGCTACTCACGTTGAGAACATCCTGTCGTAGCTGTTGTGGTTCAATGCAGGTGAGCAATCTCAGCAGCAGGTCCATGATTGCAGATGTCCCAATGTGCTTGATCATCAAGTCTACAAAGTCTTCCCGCTTTCGCAAAAAATCCACTATCTATAAACAGAAAAACAAAAACAAAACAAAAAAAAAAAACGTAAAAATCTAAAATCAATTAAGTGTAAATCACTAAAAGACAACATTCAGAGCATGTGACCTGATTATTTGTAGTTATCATCTTGTATGGTTTCTGGAAAGACCATATCAGATGGTAATTGGAACATTTTTCTTAAACACAAAACCTTCTTTTCAGCAACTCACCTGTTCAGGTTTGCGCCCTATTAGAATGGACAGGACCTTGGAGAAGAAGCTAGCCAGAAGTGGGTTAAGAGGTGGCTCATTCTGGAGGAAGCCATACAATTTCATCAGCAGTTTGTCATCTTCTCCCAATCTGTCATTGATTTGGCCCACATCTGATGTAAGAAGCTCACAGGATATGTTGGGATACCTGAAAGATGAACAAGAGCTCCTCCTCAGATGTTTCCAATACAACCATTACAATACTGTGAAGCTATGTTTACACTGGATGAATGGCCACTACACAGAATTCTTCATAACAGATAATAATCTTGACTACTCAAGCTGTGTGGTAGATGCCAAGAATTGTTAGGATATAATGTTTTATTGGCCCCAATACCAATCCAAATCCTTTAATATTATCTGCCGATACTGATTCTGATACATACTGAAATTTAAGTTTCTCTGACAAATTGTATTTTTCAGGAACTTCTTGATCAAAATACTGAATCAGGTCCTGGTTCCAAAATATTAAATTAATTAGCTTAATTTATTGATATGAATAAAAGAGTAACTGGGCATAGGGCAACACACTCTCAGAACTACAGATTCATTACAGGGCAGATACTAACTAATACTTCGTATCTGTATGTGAACACACAGTTTGGGTAATGAGTCCAATTTAGATATCACTGTTTGATACTATAATAACACTGCATTAAAAAGGTGGTGGCTGTCACAGCACTACTGGACAGAAGTGTTAAACTTACCATGTCTACACCGAAAGCACAACAGGTGCAGCACATAACACTCACATGTACAGTGCCTTGCGAAAGTATTCGGCCCCCTTGAACTTTGCGACCTTTTGCCACATTTCAGGCTTCAAACATAAAGATATAAAACTGTAATTTTTTGCGAAGAATCAACAACAAGTGGGACACAATCATGAAGTGGAACAAAATTTATTGGATATTTCAAACTTTTTTAACAAATAAAAAACTGAAAAATTGGGCGTGCAAAATTATTCAAATCCACATAAGGGATGACGGCAACATTCATAGATCCTGGAATGCACAATGAGGGGCAATGTTCATTCCTATTACAGAGGCCCACTGAAATTTTTTTGAGGAAAAGCTGTGTTAGACTGCATATTGTTTATAGTAAAGTATTTTTATATACAAATATAAAAATGAAAATGTTTCTGGAGTGGGACTTTAATTAATTATAGAAGTTGTGCAGAAGCTGCCCATAGCTCTACACAGTGATCCATGTGTGTACTGTATGTGTTTCTATGCTGCTCCAAATGAGTCTGTTCTGGTTCAACTTGTCTTATTAAATGAGCTTAAAAATAAAGTGACACCTTAGTTATAAAACACTGAGCAGGCTGTAACACACAAGAGTGTGTATTTTTGTGTGAATGCATGATTGATGGAGGCGGAACCCCAGGTT